CTACCGCTTGACGGGGGCCACTCCCCTTCGACAATTCTTAAATCATAACCAGAACACTTTACATAATAAATTACTAATCTATAATAACTCTAAACCATAAACATTAAATATTTATTAAAAAAAACAAAGGCGTGTTTCCTGAAACTCTCTTTCAAAGACGTGTTCCCTGAAATGCTCTTTCAAATATATGTTCCCTGAAATGCTCTTTCCAGCGTGGCGCCACATCAGCTTGAAAGCGCTTCCCCGGAAACGCGCCTTATGTCCATATAAGCAAACCCTGCTAAAGCGTGTTACTGGGGGGGGTGCCTTTGTGCCACCTCAGACGAAAGGGTGTTAGTTAGGGAAATATTGGTCAAAGGGTGTTATTTAGGGTATATTAGGTTCATAGGGTGATTTTTAGGTGATTTTTAGGTCAAATCACCTCAATTAAAATGACCCTATGCAATTGTTTTGGGGATTTCGACAGATAACATTAAAGGATGGTTAAAAACATGAACAAATGCATGATTTTATATTACGGGGTACAATTGAATGTATAACATTTTAGGAGGTGAACTTAAACTTATAAAATTATATGAGACGAAAACATATTTTTTAATAAAATATATAAAATATATGGTAAATTTAAAATTTTAAGGGCGACCGCCCCCGTCTAGGTCCAACCTTGAATAAAAAAGTGTTAGTCATAATATTTAAAATTAATGGTGTTATCCATTATTTTTAATTTTATCAATTTAACTATTGAATTTTATATATTATATTAATGTTATGTTTTCTAGTAAGTTTGTGAGTTTAATGTTATATTAAGTGTCCTGAAATAAATTGATAACATTATGTGTAACAATTAAAAAATAACAAGATAAAAAATTGGATTGAGATCAAAATGAACAAAATATAAGAATATTAAAAATATTTTTTTAATTATGGATATAATCGATAAATATAATGTAAATTGAAAGTTAAATGTATTTTATTGAACATAAAAAATTAAAAAAAAACAAGTTGGATTTAAAAAAGAAGAGAAATCAGATTTGTTTGTCTTCAAGGCCGTGAGAGCTGTCTCCTTATGATCTGTTTTCTCATTGGCATTGCCCTTTTCTTGTAAGGCAAGGCCTTTATCAGTGTCAATTTGGCATCTATCAGCTTGTGCCAACGACTTCACCAAATTGCGTCTCCTTCCCTTTTTATTTTGACCTTCCATTTTCAATCAATTTGGTTAAATAATTTTTTCAGTCCTTTAAACTTTTAGAAAATATAAATTTAGCACTTCATTTTCTATCTTATTTATTTATTTTTTAAATTGAGATAACTGACAAAAGAGTAACAACCCTATTAATTTGACGTCGACTTTTTTATTATCAAATTTATAAGTTGAATATATATATTATAAAATTTAATATTTAATTTTTCTAAACATTTATTTTTTGAATTAAATAATAAACGAACGTAAAAAAAATAAAATAATTAATGTTAGCTTTATAATTATGTTATGTTTTCTTTCGGTCGGTTCAACTCGATAAATGAGATGAAAATTAAAGTATACAAAATAAAAATTAATTTTTTTACATTCAAGGGTAGAAAATACCATCAAACTAGTTAAGTTAATTCCATTTGTGAACTCAATATATGTTTAAAAAGAATAATCTGTTTTATAATTCAATTTTTTTTTTAAAATAATTATCTTGATTTAAATTAGTGAAATATTGTATGTTATAAATTTTGTACTATCACATACAAAATAAATTGGAAAAAATATATAAAAACTGAATAAAATGCCCACTTTAAGGAAACTTGAGGTGATATTGTGAGGTCAGATTTAGACATGTACAATCATTTTATTGTTGATTAAAATTATGATCGTGTCGAATAAGATTTATGATAATAATAATAAAATATATTAATCTAATAACAAAAAAATAAGAAAAGATTATACTATTTAAAAATATGACTATATATATCATGCTAAAATGATTACGTAAGAAATTATATCAGAATAATTTATTAATTTTTTTGATTTTACGTCGAATGTCCTTATGAGTTGATTAGATATGATGTAGCGACCATAAATGATAAGTCATAATTGAACGATAAAGAATATTATTTTTCTAATTAGACGATGAAGAATATCATATTTCGTGTATCAAAATAAATAAATTACCAATAAATTAAAAAATATTAATCCTATATCTAAGTAAACTGAAGAGGTTTCTTTGATAAATGCATGCTTGGGGTCCATAAACATATATAATTAAACTATTACTTGAATTTTTTTTAAATCAAAGTTGATCCGAATCTTATAAAATATTTAACAATTATTTTAAAAAATATGAAAGATATTTCACAAAATTAAAAATAAAAATAATATATTCATTATTAATCAGTGATTCGAGTTGAACCAACTTTTTATTTTTTTAAGATCGTTACAAAATAGGAGAAATAGATTACATTCACACGATTTGAATCCTAATCATTTGAGATGCTGACAATTTCCTTGTATTGTTGGCAGCTCAACCAACTTAAGTTCAAAAATATTTTATGTAATTAGACTTGGTAATTAATGACTGTCCCTTTTTCCATATGTATGTAGAGATGGCAACTCAACCCGAATCTGACGGGTTCCGACCCGACTCGACCTGATCGGGTCAGATTTTTTTAAAAAAATTTCGGGTTCAGGTCGGGTCGGGTCGGGTTTTTTTTAAATGCACTGTTCTGGTCGGGTCGGGTTTATGGTAAAAAAAATCCGACCCGACCCAAAAAATATATATAATTTTATCTTATATATTTAGGGATAATTACAATAATATCCCTCCATATATAATTTTTTTCAATTAAGTCACTGTTTTCATTGAATTAAATTTTTTTATTATTATTTCGGGTCGGGTCGGGTCGGGTTTCTAAGTCATGTATTCGGGTCGGGTCGGGTGAAACATTAATTTTGTCGGGTCGGGTCGGGTCACGGGTGGAGAACCCTTTCTTCTCGGGTCGGGTCGGGTGGCCCAAAAACCCGACCCGACCCGACCCATTGCCATCCCTATATGTATGGGGTAAGGAGAAATAAGATAGTAGGCTACCCCCAACACTAGGTTGAGAGCAGCTTCCGTAAAAGACCTCCGAATTATGAAATGTCCTCCGTGAGACTCGATCCCACGACCTCAAGATTAAAAACCTTGTGCTCTACCAACTGAGCTGGATGGTCATTTCTAGACTTGGTAATTAATATATTCAATATATACTCACGTATTTTCCTGTCATAATCATATTTAAATTATTTTATAATCATAAAAATGAATTATTTATGATTGAATCTAGATAATATTATTATTATAATTAATTTTTAATTAAGATTGAAAAATATATTTTGTTGCAAATTTAATTAATTAGCCAGCATATATATATTTATATACAATTTTTTTATCGTACCATGCTCGGATAATAATTTTAACTATTTTTTGTATTATATAAATTTTTTGTGGCATTTATGGCCCGGCATTTAGACCAAAACACAATATAAAACCAAAAAAAATACAAGAAGAAAAGGAAACGTGAGTTGGACGCAAATGGAAAGGCGAACGACAGCCCGAAGAAGTAGCCGAAGCTGTACACGCAAAAGCGCTCCCACACGTTTGCCAAATCATAAGCTGCCACGTCTCATCCATTTCTTTCATTTATTTGTGGGCCCCACCGTTGCACCAATATTATTGGCCCAATGTTGAATAATATGCCGTCGCTAGCGTGACGGAGACCCCGTCTCAGTTTCCGCGGATGAAAGTAAATAAATAATAGTATATGTTTAAAATAGTTGTCGTAGATATAAAAGTAAATATTTATTAATATTATTTCTATTTTTAAATTAATTTCTCAACTTTATAGTATTTTTTTCGTGGATTTAGTTAAACCGTAGATTATTGTTTGTGATTCGGAAAGCCGATATTATTAGTGGAGTCATATTTACTAAATTGAAATTATAATAATAAAATAAGGAGATGTCCGATGAAATCTAGTCAAATATAAGGTTAAGAAAAGACGCTATCGAAAATATTAATATTTTTTAACATTTTTGGTAGAGCGTTACCTAAAATGTTATTTTTTCTATCGAAAATATTAATATCGGACACTACCTAAAATGATATTTTTTTATCAGAAATGTTAATATAAAAAATATTCATTTTAAGTAACGAAATTAATATTTTTGATAGAAAAAATAACATTTTAGGTAGCGTTTTACCTGAAATGTTAAAATAATATTAACATTTCTAATAACACATTTCCTTAATCTTATATTAGACTACCGTATATCATAACTACCCAATAAAATAAAGATACTTTAATCTTTGAAAGTATAATTATTCAAAATGGGTTTGTTTTAAACACGGCAAGAATTTTTTCTAACTCCTTATTTAAACATACATCATTATCTAATTAACTTTTATTAAATTTAAAATCATAAATGACATAATTAATTTTTAAAAATTAGTTAATTATTTTAATAAAACAAAAAATATTAATTATTTTATTAATTTAAGACATATTACAAGTTAGTATTGATTTGAAAGACTCTCAATCTATTTAACAATAAATACACAAGTACACTTAACATACAATGTGCTCAAATATGAAAATTTTAAAAACAACCATCCATTTAATCATTAAATTAATTTGGTTTTTATAACAAAATACTAAAATTGTAATTTAATCCTTTATCAATACAATAATAAAATACTTTAACTCCTAATAGGAAAAAAAATCTGACTTTGCCCATTTTTCCAAAATATACTTTTTTTAATAAGATAAGTATAATTAATTACGATAAATGTTATGCACTTTAATTGATTATTAGTTTGGATACACTAACTATATATATTAATCTTCAGAAAAGTTCAACTGCATACAGGTTACCCAAACCCCATGAAGTCTTAAATGAAACTCTCCCACCAAAAAGTAAAAGCAATGGTACTTTTCTATTAAAAACAAAACACTGGTAATTTTTGTTTGCAGTTGTTAATGGTGTTGCTGTTCCTCTTTGTTTAATTTTCGTTTTTTTCTCTTTTCTATATTTTGTTGTCTTTTTGAAGATGATGATATCATAGGGAGTTGAATTTGATCCAAGGAAGAGAAATATAGAAAGGGAGAGAGATGGGTTCTTGTTTGTCAAGACCTGAAGGAAAGTTAAGGTCGTCTAAGAAGAACAGCAAGAAGAAGAAGAATCGTAAAAGGAAGAAAAGCTTCGAGAAAAGGGTGCCTAATGGGCTACCCGACCCGTCTTTCGATGACTTTTGTAGCTCAGATGCTCTTCCTGATCATCACTCTTCCTTCTCAAACCCGACTTTTCAAGGTCTTTTTATTCGTTCTCTTCCTATTATCGAAACTGGGTTTTTATGTTTTTGTGATTTTTTAAGCCTTTTGTTTGTAATGCGTTCATGGATTTTCATTTTCTGGTTGATTTGCTTGGTGGGTTTAGGAGGTTGAGACGCTTTTGGTTGTTGCATGGAAGGTCTTGGGTGTTTTAAGAGCCATTTTGTAGACTTAAGTGACAAGGATTGTTGTGAAATGTTGATGGTAGATGCCTGCTCCTTAGATCATCAATTGGCATTGTATATCTCCAAAACATATAATCTGAGCATATTCCAACACTGATTTTTGATTTTAATATAGATTCTTGTACTTCGTGTTCCTTAATTATCAGAGGGAAGGTAGATTAATGAGGGGGAATTCCAAGTAGAATATATCAATAAAGTTGCAGAATTCACTTAATTTTTCTTGACAATAGATGTAGTTTGATCCATTAAAGATCTCAATTTGTTGCTCTAGTCTCTATTAAGCTTTAGCAAATCGGGGTTTAAACAAGTAGCGGATGTGTGTGAGCTGGTTGGAGTTTGATTGAGTTGGACTTAGTTGCTGCAGTTCTCTCATTGGTTGTTTCAAGACTACAATTGATGTTGCTAAGATTTTTATTTCAATTTGATCGTATAAACAGTAAGATGGTTTTGAACAATTTTTTTCATATGGTCAAAGTTTGTGTGGGAGATTTGGCAAAGTTATTCTGTCAGAGGCTTGATGCATAATCTTCTATAAATCTACTTGATCTCTTTAAAACTTTTCTCCTAGTTCTTGTTTCTATGCATTAAATTTTGAAATTAGCGTTTGTTAAGCCGTTGATTTGTGATGCTACCTTGGCAGGGAGTGAGGAGCTGTGGTTTGATCCAGTTGCAGTATTTGAATCCGACTGTGACGAGGACTTTCAAAGTGTTCAGGAGGGTATGATGTTTTGAAATGTTATTTGGACCTCTCATTTAGACTAAATTTTGTTTTATTTGAAGATTATCAGAAACCATTGACTACCTAATACCTATGCATCTACATGTGCAGATGTGTTATCTTTAAATGGTCTTGAAGGTGCATCTGTATCCAGTATTTCATCTTTAATGGATTCTAATTGCAGAGACCATTCTTCTTTAGTTCATATGAATAAACCGGGGGACGGATCAGATGGAAATTCTGCATGCAATGCTGTGTGTGAGGCCACAATAAATACCAATGCTCAGGTCTTCAAATCGGAGGATGGTGATCCCCTAATGAAATCCGATGGGCATTCAAATGAAGCAAAGGAACCCGTATTCGTTGACGATATTGCCTCTGTGGATGAAGGTCCTGGGAAGGGGGAAGGATTGTTGGATAATTGTGGCATTCTTCCAAGCAATTGTTTACCTTGTCTTGCATCCACTGTTCCACCAGTTGAAAAGAGAAGATCACTCATCTCTAGCCCGCCTAGTGCGAGAAAAAAGCCCGCCTTAAAACTTCCATTTAAGTGGAAAGATGAGCATCCCAGCACCACATTATGTGAGTATCTATGTTATCCGTTGAACTTTCTCACCTTTAGTTAGTGTTCATCATGAATGCCTTGTTACGAGACTGCAGAATGCATGTGAAGTTGTTTTCATTGCAGTGATATTAGAATAATTTTCTTTTGAATCATCTACAACTCAAATATGTACAGGAACACAATCGGTGGTTTCTTTTATGGCTGTTTAGTTATTGATCCATGTTAAAATTTCAAATATCTTAGAAAGCAGTAATGTAGCACAGATCGACGTTTTTCTGTTAGCATTTTTCTGAATTTATCGAATTTCTGTTTCAATTCAGTTTCTTCAAAGATGCTTCTTCAGAGACCGAAAGCAGGTTCTCAGGTACCTTTTTGCCCCATAGAAAAGAAAATGTTTGATTGTTGGTCACATATCGATCCTGGTACTTTCAAGGTTCGAGGAGAAAATTATTTTAGGTATGACTAAAAAACTTGGTCCCTAGTTCATTCCTTCAAGGCATACTTGGAATTTATTTATTTTTTATACAAAATCATTGAAGAAAAAACATGATGAAACATTTAGAATTTTTTAATCTGTTACTACCATGACAGTTTCTCACATTATTTTTTTATTTCAGGGATAAGAAGAAGGATTTTGCACCTAACCATGCTGCATATTATCCTTTCGGAGTTGATGTATTCCTATCCCCACGAAAAATAGATCACATAGCTAGATTTGTTGAACTCCCAATTATTATCCATTCCGAGAAACTACCTTCTATCCTTGTCGTAAATGTTCAGGTATACAGTTGCTCATTTTGAATGAATGTATTTTTGTTATATTGTCCTTGGGATGGAATCATGGATGTAACGGTCCTCTTGGTTATGTTACTCAGACGTAGGTGTGAGTGGCGGACATGAGTATGTGTTTGACTTGGTTATCTTCAATTTTTTCAAAATCTCTGTAGTTCTTAATGCTTACATTTTGTGGCAATGCAGATTCCCTTGTATCCTGCTGCACTTTTTCAGAGTGAAACCGATGGTGAAGGGATGAGTTTTGTTCTTTATTTTAAGCTTTCTGACAGTTATTCGAAGGAGCTTCCACTTCACTTTCAAGAAAACTTAAGGGTACTACCTATACTTGCAAAAAAGAATTTTAAATATTCTTGGATTGAGAAACTTGTACCTAAAATATTGAAAATTACAAATTAAGTCACTCAACTAGGAAACTTCACGGGAAGGCTTCTGAAACTATGTTATGATTCAGAAGCCGTCAAAAATGGCATTTGCATGACTGAAATATGATGTGTCTATAACCTACCTAGTTCGTGGCCATGTCTTGTGTCTAGGGCCAACACTACCTGCACATGGTGTGCACTCTAGGCATCGGCTGAGGCTATGCTATGCACCTCAGGCATCAAGTCTAAATTTAAATGTCTATATCTTCCTTTCTAGCAGGCAAGAGAAAACATTAGGTACATTTGCTACTAGAACACTTATTCATAATCCAATTTCAGTTCAGTTTTTATTGGATTTGGTTCAGTTTGGTTTCCGGTTATTTGATTTGGTTCAGTTTTTTGGTCTCCACTCAACATTTTGTTTTATTGTCTACACTCCTTTATGTTTTTACATTTAGGCAAGTTCTTCATAGATTCCTTCCCTGCTTCATAATTTGATCTACACTCAAGTTTACAGTATTGAGTCTGCATTTCTTTTTTGAAAACAGAGGTTGATTGATGACGAAGTTGAAAAGGTTAAAGGATTCCCTGTAGATACAATTGTGCCATTTCGAGAAAGGTTGAAAATACTAGGCCGTGTTGCAAATGTCGAAGATCTTCACATGGGTGCTGCAGAGAGGAAACTTATGCAGGCATACAATGAAAAGCCTTTTCTTTCACGTCCTCAGCATGAGTTCTACTTGGTATGCATGCTTGTATGTTAAGGGTTGACATAGATAGTGTAGATTTTTAGATAACTAATATTTGAATGATGTGCTCCTTCTGGAGCATGTTTGGGTAGCCTTAGAATCGTATGGAGACATTGTCTCGTTATGGTTCTTTCTTAGGCTCACTAGTTACTCGATTGAATTTCCGCAGGGAGAAAACTATCTCGAGATCGATATAGATATGCACAGATTCAGTTACATCTCTAGGAAAGGCTTTGATGCATTCCTAGATAGGCTAAAGCTTTGCATCTTAGACGTTGGCCTAACGATTCAGGCAAGTTCCAATATCTCGCTTGCAACTTCAAGATCTCCCTCCCCACTTTCCCTGAACAAGTTTTTTTTTTTAAAAAAAACTTTTTTTTCATTTTATAATGACGTTTACCCAATGTTTGCCTTTGAAAACAGGGAAACCGAACTGAAGAGTTGCCTGAACAGATCTTATGTTGTTTACGCTTGAGTGGAATCGACTATATGAACTACCACCAACTGGGTTTGATGCAAGAGCCTTGTCCTGTAAGTTCTGAAATGCTCTAATGCTCTTATATAGTCAGGATTTAATAAAACGCTAATCCTGCATAAATTTCTGCTCTTTCTTTATCGGTACTAGAATTTCTGAGCTTGAAGACGGCAATTGGACTTCTTCATCCGCTCATCTTCCTATTCGGACATTAAGAGCTTTGGTTGAAACTCGTCCGCTCCGATGGCATTTTTTGTCATGATATTTACAAATATAATCATGAATTTATTTTTGGAAAAGAAAATAGACCTTCGAGATCGGTATACTTCTATACTGCTGTCATTTTTAATGCTTAGGATCTATTCATGGGGTCTTATACACTGATAGAATCCTTTTTTTTTTGAAATGAATATTGAAAATATTAGAGCTACTTCTATTCAACTATTGCTTTACAATTCTCTTATCTTGTTAAGTAAGCATCAAACTTTGAAATTCTGTATTTTCTCGGGTTCGAGTAGATACGTCTGTAGGGTTTGTGTATGTCGTTAATGATTAAGAAAGACTCTGAATAAATATTAATCCTATAATCATCTCGAATTATTAAAAAAAATACATATTGAACCTAAATTCGTATTTAATAATAAACACCAATATATATATACAAATTTTGATTTGGTTCGACTGTATACATGGAGTTTTAATTTTTTTTTTTAATTTTCACCGATTATTAAAATTGTTACGCATGTAGCATCATACTACATTTAAAGATCATATACACAAATAATTCTCTATCTAAAATAAAAAAAATTAAGACGTGTATAATTAAAATAAAATAAAAGTTGTATATGTACATTAAAATTAAAATTTATATATCACATTATATATTAAATCAAGATTAATTTATAGTTTTAATATTTATCCCGTGCATCAATAATAAACTTTGGCAAGATGTAATTGCTATATGATAATAAAAAGTTCGAATTGTTGATCAACCCTCTTTGATACAAAGCAAGTGAAATCACCCATGAATGGGTGTCTAATTACCAAACATAACCTCACAGCAATGCCTATTCATCAGCCTTTATTTATTTATTTATACTCTCATAATTCCCCCAATTGAAAAATAATGGCTACTTAATTAAGAAGCCTGTGTTTCTCGATGAGCTTGTGGAGTTCAGTCTTTTTCGCTCCCACCGACCTGCATGTCTCCTTGCCTTTCCTAACAAGAACGAATGTTGGCACTGCGTCTACTTTGAATTTCCGAGCCACATCTTGTATTTAAAACGCATGATTTTATGTCATGAATAAATTTACAAAATTTTAGGAGGAAAAATAGATTATCAATAGAACAATACAAAAAAATCTAAAATATATGATAATTTTAAAATTTCAAAATAGATAACATATCAACCCGCCTCGCTCCGTCCGTCCATGATCATATGTGTACACATAAAACAAAATAAAAGGAAGAGAGAGAGAGAAAGGAAGAGAAAGTGTTACGGGTAAAGTGTCGATATCAGTTTTGAGGAACTCAACATCATCATACATATTGGCATATTCTTCAATCGCCGGTTCCATCAAATTTGCGGGGTCCGCACCAGGTCGCCGAGTCTCTTTTTACTGTTTTTTAGTTTTTCTGGTTCTGATAGTTTCTTTTCTTGTCCTGTTCTATTATTTTGTCAAGGGATTACGGGGATCTTGAATGCGAGTTGGAAGATTTGAATCTGTGAGAGGAGGAGGTTTTAGTTTTGGCGCGGTCAGAACATCCCTCACAGATTTCTTTTGATAACTGTTTTGTTTGACGTTTTCTTATGAACAAAACCATGAAGGTAGAAAGAGGTAATACCGACAACAGCTGTTTGGTAACAAAGTGCATGTTAAAAAGCAAGAAGAATATTGGTAGAAGTCTATGGCTTTCAATGATTTCCAATGTGAAGGTCATTGATTCACTAAACTACAAATTGAGAAAATAGGGTTGTCCTGGATGGCACCATATAAACATGAGCCCACTTTCAAAACATGCTTTCCATGCAAACCCAAAAGACAAACCAAAAGGTACGTTTTCACCACCCACTTCGAGAAACTGACCTCATAAACACGGCCTAAAGCACTCATGAGGCAACACCAACATCGTCCGAGGCATGACCACCCTGAACTGCTGAGCTCTGATTGTTGTAAGGGTGGCCACCGCCTCTGCCACCTCTTCCCCGGTTGTTAAAATAGTTCCTAGAATGGTAGTTGTTTTCAGGCTGATCATAATATTGGCTTCGACCATTTTGGTAGGCTCCACCACCCCTTCCACCGCCTCGACCTCCACGACCATTGGAGTAACCCCTACGACCACCACCAGTACCACGACTCCCTCTTTGGTTGTGATAGGATCTTCGAGGAACATACTGCTGCTCCCTGGGTTCTACATCTCTCTGATTGGGGTCCATATCCGACAGAAATTGGCCACCTTCTTGTTGAAGAGCAGAGTCCTCGGGATGATTTTCCAACTCCGGTTCATCCTGAAGAGCACATGCCTCCTATATTAAATCAAATAAATGGAATCCTAAAGGAACATATATGTTACAGCTAACTGAAAGCACCTTTTGAAGTTCCTCTGCAGAACTAAATTGACTGTCGCCAGTCTCAGTTTCTTGATAATTAGATGTATCTGCTTCCTACATCAAATACAAAAATAATTTGAAACATTTTATCCCCATTTGGAATCATTAAACTAATAAGTGAAGGGCAGCTCTAACTGAAATTTAAACATGTATGTTAATGCTAAACAATTAACCTGTATCAATCAGAAATGGAAGGCCTTAAAAAAGAAGCCATCCCAAACAATTAACATCAAGTCCTATGTCCGGCTGAGGGAAATGAAAACTACGAAACATCAAATCCAGGACACGCAAATCCCACCTATAGAGTCATTCCTACTTCAACATGTAAAAAAAACTGTAACAACCGCCATGTCATGCAAAGGCAGAGGAATCCGGCTACCATAAGAGATTTATTCTAGAGACCAATATGCTATTTATAGGTCTGAATCATAAGAATCATTTAAAACCCCATACTGATTAATCCAGAATAGCAGAATACTCAATTACATCAAATTTGTAGTATCTCACAGCTTTCCTTGACAAACCGAAGGTAAAAACTCAAGGCAACCCTCTGTTTCTTTTTGAATTTCCTCTAACAACTTGACTTCTTTAGGCGGATCTAGTTTCAGCTGTGTTCCATTAGTCTATCTTTAATCCAATCCATGAACCTATCCTAAACAAACCAACCTCATAATCGAGATTTTTAAGTTTCACCTTGTGATATCAAATAATCAAAATGAATAAATGCCATTCTTTCTGCAAAAACAACCTAACAAAATAAATAGCCATGTGCTGTTTCAGAGTCGACTTCTGCATTTACAACTCATGTATGAGTATTCTTTTCTAAACAAATCTAAAACATTGCCCTTCCGCAAATCTTTGTATCAAACGTGTAGAATCAAATGTCACCGAGACCCACAAAAGGTACAACATGCTGCTTGAAACTGTTCTAAGGGTGAACACCAAGCAAGCGAACCAACAGAAGTTTTATGTATTAGAAGAGAGTAATATATGAATGAATTCAACAAATATATTGGCAATTCCAATAATCAACAGCAAGGAATGAAATGTTATGAATGAGTAAAGACAACTAAATGTTATGAATGAACAAGGATTCTTAATGTGACAAATGATCACATCATTCAGATTGAACAAATTTTTTAGAACCCAACTTTTAGATGACTTGATCGAAGTCGCAGCTACCAATAACTTAACTTAGTAATGCAAAACCCTAATGCTTGCACTGATCTGTTTTGAAGGGATATTTTTAAAAGGATAGATATGTAAAGATGAGTAGGGCAATTTTGGTAAATGCGTGCTCCAGTGCATCCCCACTTTTAAAATTACTTTTTCTTGATAATATTCATCATTCTACAAATCCCTAAATATAACCAAAAAAGTAGCCCAGAAGGTCCAAAAGCCCTAAATGTTCAGAATGCAAAACATATAGGATGCAAAATAACAAAATGAAGGAATTCAGGGCAACCTTCATCGGCCCCCAAATAGGACATATACACACACATGAAAAAGTCAAAGGAAAACTAGAAAGACAAAATTGATTCTCAAGGGTGTTTGCATGCACCCAAGTCCCAAAAAACAATCTTAAAATCCTCATGAGTAGATAATTCTTCTTAATTCTTCTTAATTCTTATCATCTTATTTGTTGATTTTAAGCTTTTATCTGTACTTTTGGATTGGCTCAAACTCTACATTGGAACTAAGAAGTATAATATTAGAACTCAATACATATTTAGGCACTTTTTCCTACTAATAAGAAATTATTTCCAGAGATTGTCAGCATAGTTATTAAGTTGCTCGAGCTTAGGCATCATGTCCAATAGTGTGTGTGTACACATGACATGAGTTTAAGACTTAATAGAGTTTGACAATGTTGACATCCACAAGATCTCGCAACCAAGGATTAATGTTTCTCTTTACTTGCCAAGTGCAAATGATATAGTTTCAGACAATAGAAAAATACCAATGATAGTCGTCAATTCATAATGATAGATAGCTAACAAAATAACATACTGATCATGTCTGGTAAAATATATAGAGTATTTCAGCTTTTTGTGCATACATAAATAACAATTAGCAATGTCAACAGCCAAGTGGTCCGTTGGTAGAGTGCCTGGACTCGTAGTTCCAGAGGCAGGGTCAGATTCTGTGGTTCTTTAGTCATTTATATAAAGAATAATACCTTTTGCTGATACTGCTCAATTGAATCTTCCACCTCAACAGGCACAGAGGTGGGGACACTCTGCAGTGGAACCTGAAAAGTGGTATAAGTCCCGGCAGCTGCAGCCACTTCAACCGGTGCCTTCATCTCGGGGGTGGTTGTAAAATACTCCAAAGCCATAATCTTCTTAAGTCTCTCTCTCAACCCAGCATCTGCAACGCATAGAAATACCAAGTTAGAAAAACCCAGAAATTTAACAAAAATAAACCACACAATTAGAGTGACTTATTACAGGAAATTTCGGCATTGGGGTCGATGGGCTGGTCAGAGTTCGTCAGCCAAAGCTTAGCATGTTGGACGCAACGGTGCAAAGCGTTTTTGTGAGACAAACTGGAATCAGCAGGACGCGAAATCAATAGTTCACTCAGAGACGAAATCGAATCCAAATCTTTCTCACTAAGCAGGTCGATGGCGTCGTCGGTGACGTAATCGTAGGTCAGGCAACAACCCCTCTCGTGAGTCCGAGTCAACATCGTCGAAGTGAAATCATTCCGAGTCTTAACATCGAACAACGAACCAAAATAGAGCAGATTGAGGAGATCCTCAATGGCATGATCGGGCTCATCGGGCGGCT